TGTGTGTGTGTGTGTGTGTGTGTGTGTGTGTGTGTGTGCTGGTTCTCTCACTGGTATCAGGGGCTCACTGACTACACTGCCATGGAGAGTCAGGGAGCCTTAGAGTCCTACCCATCTCCATCTCCCCAGCATGGAATTTTAAGGCCTATGCCACCATGGCCGACTTTTTATGTGGGTCCTAGAGATGGAACTCAGGCCTTCACCCTTCGAGTGGCGAGCACTTTCCCAACTGAACTGAGGTGGCTCCCCAGTCCTGACCTTGACTTTCTGGTCCTCTTGCCTCCACCTCCCAAGTATGAGGATTAGAGACAAGGCTGGGGATCAGACTCCGGGCTTCATGTATGCTCCGAAAGCACTCCAGAACTGAGCTACAGCTACAGCTTTCTTATGCACACAAAAGAAAGTCAATGATATTCATAAAGAAAGCCAATGATAACGTCTAAAGAAAGTCAATAACATTGTCTAAAGAGGGCTGGAGAGATGGCTCAGAGGTTAGGAGCATTGGCTATGCTTCCAGAGGTCCTGAGTTCAGTTCCCAGCAACCACATGGTGGCTCACAACCATCTGTAGTGAGATCTGATGCCCTCTTCTGGTATATTGTCTAAAGACAGCCAATGATTGATTCCTATTATTTATAAAGTAATAAAAATTATCAAAAAGAAAGTCAATGATATTGTCTAAAGCTTAAAACATTTTTTCGTTGACAAATGTAAAGATTCCTTTTGGAGACCCAGAGGGCAATGTCATCAGTATTTTCCCATAAGTTCTGTTCAGGGCTTCAGAGATTTAGCGTTATCCAGGCCTCCCACGGCCTACTAGCCCTCCCAATCTGTTTCTCTGTTCCTAAATATATTATCTCTTCACCCACCACACACACACACACACACACACACACACACACACCTGGTTCTCAGATGGCCTAAGAATCATCTTACTGACCTTGTCTTGTCCTGGGCACCCTCGCACATGAGCTGACGGCTATACCTTCTAGGTAGATCATTACCTTCATGATGGTGATTGAGGAGGCCTGAAATTGTCTGCCTGTCCCAGTAGAGACATTCCCTTGCCAGAGTGGTGGCCCTTTGTTTTTTTCTAGAGAGCTACAGACTTGAGAACCTTCTCAGCCTTTGCACGTGCCTAATAGATTATTTTCCCAGGCCTGGATGCCTGACTCACAGACACCAGCAAAAAGTCACTCAGACCAGCTGCAAAGATAGTGCGGCTGGGGGAGGGAGGGATAATGGGAGGTTTTGCAAGAGCTGGTGCAGATCCAGCTCCACAGGGCCCTGATCCACTGAGTTCTCCCTCTCCAGGGGCCCCAAAGTAACCAACAACTCTGGAGAGGAAAGCTTAGCCCTGCAGGCACACAGACCTGCTCAGTCACAAAAAAGAATCTAAGGGCTGATCCCAAAGCTCCTGGTTCATCAGAGGAGCCAATGGCTGGCAGGTATTTACTGTGTTACTCTGTGTGGAATCCAATCTCCAGACATGACCCTTAACATGTGATCTGGGGAAACAGTCTCCAGACATGACCCTTAGCGTGTGATCTAGGGAAACAAACTTGTCACCTCATCCAGAGCTTTCATCATAAATCAGGGGCTCAGGAAAGGTGGTCCAGCAGTTAAGAGAACTTAGAGCTCTTCAAGGGGGCCTGAGTTCAGTTCCCAGCACCCACATGGCAGCTCACAACTGTAACTCCAGTTCCAGGGGATCTGATGCCCTCTTCTGTCCTTCCAGGGTACCAGGCACACAAAGACTTCACATACATGTAGGCAAAACACCCATACACACACCAAAAATAAATCATGACCTGGTGAGAGAGCTAATTAGATTAAGACATTTGCCACGAAGATTGACACCTGAATTCAATCCTTTTGGGACCCACACATGGGAAAGAGAAGACTGACTCCAGCCTGTATACCCATTCCATAGTATGTGTATGCTCACACACACATAAACACAAAAATAAATGTATTAAACCCTCCTTTTTTAAAACCAGATGAACTCGGTTTGGTGGTGCACACCTTTAATTTAACAGCACTCGATAGGCAGAGGTCAGCCTGGTCTACATAGCCAGTTTCAAAACTACAGAGAAACTGTCTCAAATAAATAAATCAGGTGTAATTTTTATTTTCTTGCTTTTTGGTTTGGGGACAGAGTCTAATGCTGTAGCCTAGGCTAGCCTGATATTTACTATATAAATATCAAACTGGCTTCGATGAATGACCTCCTGCCTCAGTCTCCCACTGTGGGAAGTGTGAGCCAGCACTCTCAGCAGGGGTCTGTCTTTCAAAGAGGCCGGCAGAGCAGCCTCAGACATCAGGAGCCAGCAATTCCAGCCACACTTAAGATGGCTTCAGCCCGCCTCCCCATTCGCGAGGGGCGGGGCGACAGGTACACACTTCCGCCCGCCACTCCCAACATGGCGCCTCCAGCGCGTCCGGGGGGCAGGGCCGAGGACGGAAGTGGGTGTGACCGGGACGGAAGCCGAGCGGGCGTCTGAGCGAAGTCAGCGGGCAGTGGGAGCAGGGCTGTCCGCTACGATGATTCCCCCTCAGGAGGCTTCCGCCCGGCGGCGGGAAATCGAAGACAAGCTGAAGAAGGTGAAGCAGGGGTGAAAGTGAAGCCAGGGCGCCAGGGCATGGACTGTCGGGGGTGAAAGGAGAGACGCGGGTGGGGGTAGGCCGTGGGGGCGGGGAGTGGTGGTCTCCTCTCTCCACCGGCTCGGGGTGACATCCTCCTCTCCACTCCTTGCAGGAGGAGGAGACGCTGTCCTTCATCCGAGACAGCCTGGAGAAGAGTGACCAGCTCACTAAGAACATGGTGAGTTGCCCTCAGCTGGGAGGCCGCAGACAGCCCACCCCCGGCCGTAGCGGAGGGACTTGTGACGGACGGGGCCTGGGCCCGGGTCCAGCGTGGGTAGCAACGGTGGTACGGTGTGGGCTTCGCTAGCTGCTCCCTAGCCTCCGCTCCCTCACTGGAGACACCGCGGGTCTGGACTTGTTGCTGTGTGCTGTGCAGACGTTTAGTGATACCCTGTGGATGGGCTGGGACTGGCCCCTGTCTTTGTCATTCAAGTGCTGGGTGCTCGCCTGGAAGGCTGGTTCAGTGAAATTACCGAGGCAGCGAAGTCCCAAGGGCTTTTGGGATAGAACCATCACAGAGAGCTAGTGGATCTTAGACCTAGCCCTTGTCCCACAGCTTATTATGAGGTTCTTGGTGGGCAAGATTTGTTTTGGTTAGTTCAAAACAGACAACGCCGTTCTCCCAGGATGTCTGTGAAGGGACATAGAAACCAATGCCTGTTGCGCTCTGGTATATGATGGGTGCTTTAACATGCTTTTATATAATTTTTTAAAATGGTTTTATATTCTTTTTTAAAATAATTTTTTATGATTTATTTAACTTTATGTGCATTGGTGTGAGGTTGTCAGATATCCTGGAACAGGAGTTGCAAACAGTTGTGAGCTGCCATGTGGGTGCTGGGATTAGAACCTGGGTCCTCTGGAAGAGCAGTCAGTGCTCTTAATCACTGAGCCATCTCTCCAGCCCCTATTCTTCTTTTTTTTTTTTTTTTTTTTCGAGACGGGATTTCTCTGTACAGCCCGAGCCATCCTGGAACTCTATTTGTAGACCACACTGGCCTTGAACTCAGAGATCCATTTGCCCCTGCCTCCCCAGGACTGGGATTAGCAGTGTGCACCATCACCTGGCTTGCTTCTTTATTCCTAGGGGAAACTGGAACACATACTGAGTAAATACGAACCTGCATTTGTGTTTAATCACACGATAATAAAGTCACATACTTCCTTCATGAGATTCACCTTTAGGAAAAGAGGTTTTGAAGGTAACAGCAATGTATTTGGGGCTGCTCTTCGTGAAGCCATTTCCAGTTCAATAGGAAAACGTCAGAACAGAAATTGAGATTGGGCTTCAAAGGGTAGAAAGGAAGCTGTCCTGAGGTGATTATCATTTCTTATTTATTTATTTATTTATTTAGGTTTTTCAAGACAGGGTTTTTCTGTAGCTTTGGAGCCTGTCCTCTTGCAGACCAGGCTGGCCTCAAACTCACAGAGATCCGCCTGCCTCTGCCTCCTGAGTGCTGGGATTAAAGGTGTGCGCCACCACCACCCATATTCATTTCTCTTTTAAAGTTTACTTTTACTTTATGTGTATAGTGTTTGTGTGTATTTGCTCTGTGAGTATGCAGTGCCTTCAGAGGCCAGAAGAGGGCGTCAGACACTCTGGCAGTGGAGTTCAAGGCACTTGTGAGCAGTGATGTGGGTGCTGAGAACTGAACTTAGGTCCTCTGCAAGAACAGCCAATGCTCTTAACTCCTGAGTCATCCCTCCAGCTCCCTAGGGTGATCATCTTAGGAAGAATTAGTTTGATGTTTTTCTTGCCTGAAGATGAGCGAGCACCAGCTGCTCCTCCAGAGGACCTGGATTCAATTTCCAGCATGCACATGGCAGCTCACAACTGTCTGTAAATCCAGTTCCAGGGGATCTGGCCTTCTTGCAGAGACATACATGCAGGAAAAAACAAACAAACAAACAAACTCAATGTGCATAAAAATAAATAAATTTTAAAAGATGAAAGATGAAATTTCACCAGTTTATCTTGAATCATGTATCATGTACCAAATTAGGGACAAGCCCACTGTGTTCCTTACTGTATGTAGCTTACTATCTAGAAAACCAAGAAAAGGTAAGAGATGCCAGGATAACCCTGAGACCCGAGAGCCAGAGGCCTTCCTCCCACAGGTGTCTATCCTGTCGTCCTTTGAGAGCCGGCTCATGAAGCTGGAGAACTCCATCATCCCCGTGCACAAGCAGACAGAGAATCTGCAGAGGCTGCAGGAGAATGTAGAAAAGACATTATCCTGCCTGGACCACGTCATCAGCTATTACCACGTAGCCAGCGACACTGAGAAGATCATCAGGGAGGGGTGAGTTGCGTGTGGAGGTTGCAGAACTAATGTCCCCTGGCCCAGTGACTCTAGGCCCTAGAAGGGAAATAAAACGTGTTTGAGCTTAGAGTCCCTCATGTGATGTTCATTCTCTCCCCCTCCAGCATACCATGTCCCCTGTCCATCATTTTAACCCCCATTCTTCAAGGCTGATCCAGTGTTTTTTCCTTCCCAGTCCCACAGGCAGGTTGGAAGAATACCTGGGAAGCATGGCCAAAATCCAGAAGGCTGTGGAGTATTTTCAGGACAACAGCCCAGACAGCCCAGAGCTCAACAAAGTGGTAAGAAATCAATGGGATCCTGTGAGACAGATGAGACCTCCATCCCTGGTCTCATGAGCGACACGTGACCAATGTAAAGAAGTGTATAGAAGCCAGATGTGGCAACTCATGCCTAACACTGTGAGACTGAGGCAGGAGGATCATGAGTTTGAGGCCAGCCTGAGATACGTAGTGTTCCAGACTAGCCTGGGTTATGTAGTGAAGCTGTATCTAAGAATACTAGGAAAGTGTATAAAAGAGTAAGATATGCCGGCAGTGGTGGTGCACACCTTTAATCCCAGCACTCGCAAGGCAGAGGCAGGTAGATTTCTCTTGAGTTCAAGGCTACCCTGGTCTACAGAGTAAATTCCAGGACAGCCAGGGCTACACAGAGAAAACCCGTCTTGAAAAAAAATTAAATAAAAAGAATAAGATACATAGTATTCAAAATGTAAGTGTTAGGTCCTGTGCCTTAGGAATTATAGATATAGCTTTTTTTGTCATACTTTATAGTTTAGTTAAATTATTTCAAATGTAAGTTTAACATTTGATTTTTATATATGCATTGGTGATTTCTTCACTTCAGTAAAGTGAAGGTCTACCTCGGCATGGTGCCTCACACCTGTAATTCTAGCACTCAGGAGGTTGAGGCAGGAGGATTGCTGTAAGTCCAGATTGGGCTACATAGTGAATCCTAGGCTGGCCAAAGCTACATAGCAAACCCTGTCTCAAAGCCATAAAGCAAAACAAATATCACATAAAATTGACCATTTCAGTCAGGCATGATGACAAGTACCTGTGCTCTTGGCACTTGAGAGGCAGAGGCAGGAGGATTACTTTAAATGTGAGGCCAGCCTGGGCCATATATCATACTTCAGGCCAACAGGGGCTCACAAATCCAAACGTGAGTTGTTGCCCTTGAGACTCTTTGTAAGCATACAGTTCGGTGGCTTGTGTGCCTGCCTGTTGTTGTCCCATCCTGACCCCAGTTGACCTCCAGAATCTTTCATCTCCCCGAACCCAAGCTCTGCGTGATTTAACGCCACAGGCCCTAATTGCCCTGCTGGGGTGTTCTGTGTAGCGCGGGTCGGTTGAAGAAAGAAGGCACTCCAGGATGAAATGCTAAGGCCTGTGTGGCAGCAGAAAGAGCCAGCCTCTCTGATGGCCTAAACCCCAGACAGCTGCACAGAGGCGCATTTATCGATTGTTACACAAATGTTTTCTCATACCAAGGTCCCTAATCTAATTTATGTGTCTTTTTTTTTTTAAGATTTACTTATTACATATACAGTGTTCTGCTTGCATGTATACTTGCAGGCCAGAAGAGGGAACCAGATCTCACTACAGATGGTTGTGAGCCACCATGTGGTTGCTGGGAATTGAACTCAGGACCTCTGGAAGAGCAGTCAGTGCTCTTAACCTCTGAGCCATCTCTCCAGCCCATGTGTCTTTTTTTTAAATTTATTTATAGTCTCTGTGTATAGGTGTTTTGCCTACATGTATGTCATTGTGAGAGTCCCAGGTCCTCTGGAACTGGAGTTACAGATAGTTGTGAGCTGCCATGTGGGTGCTAGGAATTGAACCTAGGTCTGGAAGAGCAGCCAGTGCTCTTAACCACTGGACCGTCTTTCCAACCACAAGAAGCGGGTACTTGGGGAGGGCTAATCTGCACCTTCATCCTATTGCCGGTCCCCCTTTGGAGGTTGGCAATGGTAAGTATCAAATACATTACATGTGCTAGGCAAGTGTTCTACCACTGACCTATTTTCCTAGACACTAATAGTCCTTTTTTTTTAATCTTTAAAAAATAATTTGTTTATTTTATGTATATGTGTGTATGCCTGATTGTATGTCTATGCACCATATGCATGCAGTGCCCTCAGAGGCCAGAGGGGGCATCAGATCATCCTAGAGTTTCAGATAAGACACCCCATGCTAGGAAGTGCCCCTCTCCCCTGTCGACTGTTTTTTTGTTTTGTTTTCAGTGTACTTACATGGTGCTGGGGACTGAAGGTAGGGACTCACACATAGTAAGCAAGTGGTCTACTACAGAGCCCCGTCCCCAGCCCCCAAGAAGGCCTTTGCTTAGGAGCAGACTTGCCCCCTTTCCTTAGGCCCTGGCCTCTGTCAGAAATGAGGGGTATGTGATACTGTGTGATGAGCCAGTAACTAGCCAGTGGTCTTGGGTTGCCCAAGGTCCACTGGCTATTTTGAGGACTGAACTTCCTATGGTCAGTAGTTTAGTATACCAGTAGCCACAATACCACAGCCCCTCAGTGGTAAACCTATCTTTTGTCACATACTTCTTTGCATGTGTGTGTGTGTGTGTGTGTCTGTCTGTCTGTCTGTCTGTCTGTCTGTCTGTCTGTCTATAAATGTGTGGGTGGGTGCACATACATGCATGTGTATGTGGAAGCCAGAGGCCAGCCTGAGGTGGTGTTCCTCAGTAATGACATCTTGTTTTTTGAGACAGAGTCTCTCACTGGAGCTGGCTCACTGATTGGGCTAGACTAGCCAGCTTCTGCATCCCGGGGATCTGCCTGTCTTTACACGCACACCTGAGCAAGGGTTAAACCGCCCTCCAGTCACCGTACTCGAGGCCATCCTCTGACCTGCAACACGATAGCACATGTGCACATGTTTCTATTTCTGTTCTTGAGACAGGGTCTCACTGTGTAGAGAGCTGCCTGATTCTGTCTCTTGAGAGCTGGGATTAGAGGTGTATGCCACCACATCCAGGCTCATAACTCTCTGTCTAGGTGGGTGCTGGGATAGAACTTAGGTTTTTGTGCTTGCGTGGCAAACAGATTTCTAACTGATCTGTCTTCCTCGGCCTTGGCTCCTCTATTTTAGTGTAATGTGGTTTTGTTTTGGTGTTGTTGTGACAAGTTTCTCTGGGTAGCTCTGACTACCTTAGAACTTGCTCTGTAGACCAGGCTGGCCTCAAACTCTCAGAGATCCATCTGCCTCTGCCTCTTGAGTGCTGGTTTAGCATAATGTCTTTAAGGCTCATCGATTTGCAGCATACTATATCAGTACATTACTTCACACCTTTTTATTGCTAAATAGTATAGGTAGACCACATTAAGAAATGCATTTACTCATTTGTGTATGTGGGCACATGTGTGCTATGCGGTGTGTGGAAGCCAAAGGACACTAACAGGAGCTGCCTCTCTCCTTCCGCCATGTTGTTGTCTGTGATCAAACTCAGGTTATCAGCTTTCCCAGCAGAATCATCTTGGCCAACCTAACATCCCACACTTGTTTGGCCGTTTATCCCTTGGTGGGCACTTGGGCTGTCTGCACTTTGTCCATGTGGAGAATGTTGTGTGGACCTTTGTGTCTGTGTGTTAGCGTGCACGTTTGTGTCTGTGTGTTAGCGTGCACATTTGTTTTCAAGTCTCTTCGGTGTTTTCCATATGTGATTTATAAATATTTTCTCAGTCATTTTTCAGTTTTTTGTTGATAACACTTGACACTAGATTGAGGTAATCCAGTTGTCTTAGGGTTTCTGTTGCTGTGATGAGACACCATGACCAAAGCAGCTTGGGGAGGAAAGGGTTTCTTTGGCTCACACTTCCACAATGTAGTCCATCATTAAAAACATCAGGACAGGAACTCAAACAGGGCAGGAACCTGGAGGCAGAAGCTGATGCAGAGGCCCTGAAGGGTGCTGCTTACTGGCTTGCTTAGCCTACTTTCATATAGAACTCAGGACCACCAGCCCAAGGATGGCAACACCCACTATGGGCTGGGCCTTCCTCCATCAGTCACTAATTAAGAAAATGCTCTATTGTCTGCAGCCTGATCTCATGGAGGCATTTTCTCAGTGGAGGCTCCCTCCTCAGATACCTCTAGTTTGTGTCAAGTTGACATAAACTAGCCAACACGTTAACTTACCTGCTTGTTTCTTTTATAACTAGAGGGCAATTAGCAGTGAAAATGAGAAAATAATAAATTAATGCTTGTTAAGCAGAATTTGGCCTGTGAACATCAAGCATTTTTTTTGTTTATTTTTAGACAGGACCTCACTGTGTTGTCTGACTGTCCTCAGATTCACAGAGATCCACCTGCCTCTGCTTCTTGAGTGCTAGGATCAAAGGTGTGCGCCACCATACCTTGAGCAACCGTCAGTTTTGAGAAACCGAAGGAAAGGAAATTACCAAGTCAGGCTTCCCAGGGTTTCTTCTGTGCTTTGAAGAAGGAGTGGCTGGGGCTCCAGAGGCCTGAGGGCGGGAAGGGCAGGGGCTGCAGATCCCAGCTCAGCAGCAGCAGCCTCCTTCCCTTGTCCTCGCAGAAGCTGCTGTTTGAGCGGGGGAAGGAGTCCCTGGAGTCTGAGTTCCGCAGTCTGATGACCCGGCACAGCAAGGTTGTCTCCCCTGTGCTCATCCTGGACCTGATCAGTGGTGATGATGACCTGGAGGTCCAGGAAGATGTGACCCTGGAGCACCTGCCTGAGAGTGTGCTCCAGGATGTGATCCGCATCTCCCGCTGGCTGGTGGAGTACGGCCGGAACCAAGGTGAGGGCTCCCTGTCCAGAAGAGTGGCAGCTTTCTTCCCGCCACCTCCCCCAACATGTTTTCTTTTCTTTTCTTCTCTTCTCTTCTTTCTTTCTTTCTTTCTTTCTTTCTTTCTTTCTTTCTTTCTTTCTTTCTTTCTTTCTTTTTTCTGTGACAGACTCTCAGTATAAAGCTCTAGTTGTCCTGGAGCTCAATGTGCAGACCAGGCTGGCCACAAACTCATAGAGATCTGCCTGCCTCTGGATTTATTTTCCTTTTATTTGCAAGTATATTGTGTGTCTGTACGAGTAGATGTCACATTCATGCACCATGGAGGTCATATGAGAGTCATCCATTTAACTGGAGTTGTAGGTGGTTGTGAGCCACCTGACTTGGGTACTGGGGACTGAACCTGGGTTCTCTGAAAGCAGCCAATGCCTATTCCTCGCACCACCCAAACATAGACCAGCAACAAAAACAAAGGCAGAACAAAACAGAAAAACACACGCTACCAACACAAGCTGGTAGGTAGGTGGTAGCTCTGTAGCGAGGGCTTGCCTGGCGTACAGGAATTCCTCGCTTTGAACGCCCGCCTCGTAATTGTTCTGTTGGAGGATAGCTTTTCCCTTTGAGATTCTGCCTGATTGGAGATGAAATTAACCAGTGACATCATGGACTCTACTGCCCTGCTGTACAGACATGAAGCAGTTGGTGTAGGGCCCCGGCCGCTGGCATACTTACTGTCTCTCTCCAGATTTCATGAATGTCTACTACCAGATCCGCTCTAGCCAGCTGGACCGCTCCATCAAAGGCCTGAAGGAGCATTTCCGCAAAAGCAGTTCCTCCTCTGGGGTGCCCTACTCCCCTGCCATCCCCAACAAGAGGAAAGACACTCCTACCAAGAAGCCTGTCAAGCGGCCAGGTGAGCTCCCCTGACCATTTATGTAACCGAAGAATCACAGGGTTATCTTTGTCCACTCTGGGGTGAGCAGTATAAGCCTTCTGGAGCCCTTGTCTGTGATCACCCGGCTCCTAGGGACACAGGATAGAGCAAATGTCCCCTACCCAAAAGGCCCTGTAGATTCTTATACCCAGCAGCTATGTGATTTCCATAAGATTTGGGGTTGGAGAGGCAGGGCCACTAGTGTGCTTAATTGTCTCTGAGGCAGGGAGGCAGAGGCCATAGGTCAGAGTGACCTGCTAGGTCTCCTTCCCCTTGCTGTGTGGTCCGGTTGGGTGAGAAGGGGCAGGCACCCCAGCTTTCCAGAGAGCCAGATCAATATAAACTGCTCCTTAGTTAGAAAGTGGACATGGCATAGAGGTGGGTGCGGGCAGTGAGACACTGCTCTCCTGGGAGCAGCCCACTGTCCACTCCTCCTGACCTCACGTCCATATGGTCTGTGCTCCAGGCTAACTGTCTCTGTCAGCCTGGCAGTCCTCCGCCTCAAGAGAGGCTGACCTCAGCCCCAGGAGAGATAGGATGTTCCCGTAGCACCAGGAGAGAAAGCCATGGGCTTCCAGTTGCTGCTCAGGCCTGGCTAGGGAACATGCTCTCCTAACAGCAGGCCTTGAGTAGAGTGCACACCCTCATTTTCCAGTCCCCAGCCACCCAAGCCCTTTGGAGCAACCACGTCACCTGCTTCTCAGGCTTTGCTAAAGGTTGGAGACACAGCCAAGAGAGGCTGCCTTCCAGGCTCGGTGGTCTCTGCAGGACATGCATTGTCTTCTACCCTTTAGTGAGGGTCCTGGCCGCCCCAGTAGAGAACTTGCTGTAAACAGTGATTCTTCTAACCCCCCTGCTGAACCAGCTGCCCGCATGCTTGGGGTCCGTGCCTTCCTATGGGGAGGAGCTATGTCCATGAGGCTGCCAGGGCCTCAGCTGCTCTGCTCGCTTCCTCTTCTCCTGGTTCTTTGACAAGCCCACTAGGCTCCAGGACCCTGTTTGCCCTGCTCCAGTGTCCACTGGCCTGCAGGTTCTAGCCTTTGAGAAAGAGGGAGATGACCTACTCCAGGGCTCTCCATCAACTTAACCTGTCCTTGTGGAGAGGCAAAGGACTGTGAGGTCCCTGTGGTTCTGTAGGGCTTAGGAGTTGGCAGGAGTGAGTGGACTCAGACTGAGGTGAGGGTGATGGAGTCAGGCCCTCAGGACATCTGTCCCCACTCTGAGGACAGAAGAGTCCGGCCTCATTGATGAGGCACCAACCTCAGCATCTGCTCTTATAATTGGGCACCTGATGGACTCGGTTGCTGCCAGGTCGCTTCCCCGTTTCCTTGCAGCCGGTGTGCTGGTCCCATTGGGCCCACAGGCCATCTGCTCCTGGGGAGGCTGTGGGGCAGGAATCTGATTCACTCATTACTAGGGTGCTCACTGAGGAGGGAACACGGAGAGAAGCAGATGTGAGCTGGCCTGACAGAAAGAGTGGTGGCTAATTTCAGTGTGGTACAAACAGAGATGAGCCAGCTGAACCCTGCCCCGCCCTGCATAGCCTGGTGGGTGCCGTGAGGACAGCAGCCTTGCATTCAGCTGTGGTGGAGAAGTCTCAGGAAAGGTGGTGCAGTCAGGCTTCTGCATGACTCACCTCCCCAGTACATTTTGCTAACTAGGAGCACTTCCTACTGGCTGACAAACTGCCTGTGTCCCCACACTGTGGGCTCTGAGATGTCTTGATCCCAGGAGCTGGCAGCCCCAAAGGCCAGGCTGCCACACTTCATTTGTTGTTGTTTGTGATGCTATCTGTTCTTTTTCCCCATGGCAAGAGCTTGTCGTCTTTACCACGGCTCTCGACTCGCCGGTGGTGGCTCCTGTTAGCCCCTCCCTAGCTTTTCAGTTTGTTACCATTGCTATGTTGGCTGAGTGTCTTCTGGGGTGTGGGGGCCTCCATCTCCATCATAGCTCTACAGGAAGCTGAGACCTGTTTTCCCAACCCCAAACCCCTCAGGGCCGCCTGGCTTATGTCTCAACACTGCTGTCTGGCTTATGTCTCAACACTGAGCATGCTCAGGGAACTCAGCCTGGAGTTTCAGTTGGTCTCCAGGAAACCCCCAGGTTACCCTGTCCTGCTCTTAAGTGTGAGAGTTTTGTCGCTAGGCCTTCAGCCCACTCCGCTAGTACGCTACTCGGCAGAACCTTTTCCTTCCCGGATGGATCTTAATGCATCTCCTTTTGTCACTTCCTGTCCCTCCTAAAGTGAACTCAGGTCCAGAACTGAGGGTCAGTGCCAAGTCCAGGACTGAGTTTGCCTACATTTTCTGCTCTCCATCCTTCAGGGTCTCCGGTGACCCTGGCAGGACCTGCTGGCAGAGGTGTTGAGGGGCACACTTGCTGTTGGGGCGGGTGCGGGCTGGGCAGGTGGAGGCCGCTGCTGTTTTCTCTCACTCATTTCCTAGGTCTTCCTCTCTCCTCTCTGTGGCTCTGGTGACAGGGACGATCCGTAAGGCTCAGAACCTTCTGAAACAGTATTCCCAGCATGGTCTAGATGGGAAAAAGGGGGGCTCTAACCTCATTCCTCTGGAAGGTAACCACCCTGTGTTCCTTTTCCGTCACCCTACTTCCACTATGAGTCCACTCACTCATTAGGCAGGGCAGAGCCTCTCCCAGGAGGGCCTTGGGACAAATCCTGAGGGGGCTGGGCGGGAGTGGCAAACCCTTGATGCTCCTCAGTCTTCAACAGGCCCAAGGACAAGTTTCATGACCCTGGCTTTGTCCTGCCTGGCTCTGCCCTTCCTAAGGTTCGTCCTCCCTGTCTCTGTCTTTGTGTCCTGTGTAAACTTAGAGAAAATTGTCTTGGGGCAGCCCTTTCACGCCCAGATCAGCAGGGCAGGACCAAGTTGGTCAACACCTCCCGGCTACTGTGCTCTGTAGAAAGGGAGCTTCTTGCAGCTAAGGGGACAGTCTGCCTAAAGGGCATGGGCCGCCTCCGCTGCCAGGAGAGGGACAGCCAGGTCAGCTGTGTTGGTGGACCCACCTCCTCAACTGCCCTCATTCACTCAGCAGTGACATTTCTCAGGGTCTCCCTGGGACCATGCACCTTCTCTTGGCCTCCCCGTGTTAGAAAGCAAACAGCCAGGGATGGTCCTAAGCACTCCCTGAGAGTCAGGCTTGAAACGGCTGTTCCCAGTGGGGTTTGAGGCAGTGGAGGGGCTCAGAGCCCTCCTTGGTGCTCCCTCCCTATGCCCCATTTCACACTCTGCTCTGGTCCTGGAGATCAAGGGCTTCTTCCCCATACCCCAAGGGGCAGCTGCCTGGCCCCTGGGTAAACGCTGCTTGTGTTTGTGCAGCTGACATCTTGCTAGGTCACAAGCATGATTTCCGAGTTAAGCACCTGTCCGAGGCCCTGAACGACAAGCGTGGGCCACTGGACGGTGAGTACTGTGGTCCAGCCGCTGACAGTCCCCTGACGGCCTGCTCTGCTCTGAGGATGGGCCTGGCCTGTGACCTGGCTCCCACTTCAGTCTCCTTTGGACCCTAGGTCTCCTAGCCTCTTGTGAGATGGGAGTACATGCTTGGCTCTTAGGGCCTGGCCAGAGGAGAAGCTGCAGCTTGGTCTTGGAAGGCAGGCAGGAGGGCAGGTGGCTGCTCCGAGGTCATGAGCTGGGGTATCTCACTTTTGGAGCCATTCATAGCATATGAAACCCAACTGCTCTGTCCTGGGGCCCCTGCTCATCTTCCAATAGTGGGGTGCACTCTGCTCATAGAGCAGCTCAACAGGGAGCCCTCTGTCTCCAGGGCTTATTATCTCTTCTTGGATGGTTTTGCTTTGCTGAGATAGTCTTGCTAAGCACCCCAGGCTGGCCTTGAACTTGGTCACCCTACCCCATCCGCCTGAATGCTGGGATCATAGGCATATATCACTCTTAGCCTCTTCTCAGAATTAACTCTACACACACACACACACACACACACACACACACACACACACCAGCCAGCCAGCCTCGTAGGCCATAGCCCTCTGCTCCCTTATACTTCTTAGGGTCTGGTGAGATTGGTAATGACCGTTATAGGAACCTCATCTCCCAGACGGAGGACCACAGTGACTACCTCTTAAAGTGGACACTGCCGCCTGCCCATCCCACACTGCCCTCTTCCAAGCCCAATTCAGAATCCTCAGGCCTGGGATCAGACGACCTTGCCCAGGGTGTTGGTTTAGGAACTTTCCTTCCCTCGAGCCTTCTCCACCACCTCTCGTTTGCTCTGGGGCCATGGGCGCTGCCTGTGCTGAGTGGAAAGATGCCAGGACAGTGTTTGGACTTGGCACCTGCTCTCCCAGACCTGCCAGAGCCGTTCTCATGGCAACCTGTCACATAGTCTGTCTCTTTCTGCTCACTGCTGCTCTGGGCTTAGCCCAGGAGCTGAAGAGACTGAGACCCCAGGCACTCAGAATCACGCTGTCCCTCCAGGGAGAGATGACATGCTGGATGTGGAGACTGACGCCTACATTCACTGCGTCAGTGCCTTTGTCAAGCTGGCCCAGAGTGAATACCAGCTGCTGACGGACATCATCCCTGAGCACCATCAGAAGAGAACCTTTGACTCCTTGATTCAGGTCTTACCCTGCCCACCTGCAGCTCTGAGCACTGGCCCATGTGACTTACTGCAGAAGCTATGGGGGGGGGCAGGCCTGTCACCCTAAACCCTTGACTCTGGTGTAGCCCATGACCCTCTCCCCATCCTTCACAGCATGTTGGCTCCTTCACACCCACAGGGTGCCCCCACTGTCCCTAGGAACCTGCTCTGCTCTGCGCCTTCCTGACAGGGTCCTTGTCCTTCTCCCAGGATGCACTGGACGGACTGATGCTCGAGGGGGAGAACATCGTGTCTGCTGCCAGGAAAGCCATCATCCGCCATGACTTCTCCACAGTGCTCACAGTCTTCCCCATCCTGCGGCACCTCAAGCAGACCAAGCCTGAGTTTGACCAGGTGCTCCAGGTATATGGGCCTTTCTCACACGGCTTGCTCTATTCCATGCTCTCTACCTCTCTTCTGAGGTGGCTCCTGAGGGGCTTTGCATAAGTTAGGATGTCACAAGGTAAGAGAAGAGCTGTCGCTAATCTTGAACTGGACTGAGGGCTAGGAATTAGACACACAGCTCTGGAGAGGGCAGTGAGCTGGACTCTGATGAAGATGTCAACCATGTCCTTTCTCAGGGCACAGCAGCCAGCACCAAGAACAAGCTGCCCGGCCTCATCACCTCCATGGAGACCATTGGAGCCAAAGCACTAGAAGACTTTGCTGACAACATTAAGGTACCCACAGCCCCTTTCACCAGACCCAACTTCCTCACTGAGCTCTGGGGACCCCTTAGAGAGCAAGCCTTCAAGAAAGTCAGGTTTACTCTGTGGAAAAACCCCTGCACTGCTGGTTTTCTGAGAGGACCCTCTGGGCTCCTCTGTTTCTTTCCTGGCACTGACATCCTCCGAGGCATACATCCTTGTCTTGCTCAGCTTCTGAGGCTGAGGGGCAGCATAACACTGATGTACCAGGAGGTGGCGCCATAGGAAGGCCGACTAGGGCTCACGGTGAACCAGAGGCCACTGGTGAGAGCCCTTTTCTGGGAACCAGAGGCTTTTTTTTCCTTCCCACAGAATGATCCAGACAAAGAATACAACATGCCTAAGGACGGCACCGTCCACGAGCTCACAAGCAACGTAGGTGCTACTCAAACGCTGCTGGCGAGGTGGGACAAAGAGCTCTCCAGCTCAGACACTGGGGGACAGCACCAGTGGGAACCCACCCTGCGGCCAGCTTCCAGCACACAGGCCCTCTCGGGCAGCCAGAGTCCAGAGATAGCTCTTGACTTTCTAGTTGCTCTTGTCACTGTGAAGACCCCCGGCACAAGACCTGCCCGCTGGTTGGGAAGGGTGTGTAGGAAGCCATTACCTTGGGCCTATCCCCAACCCTCTCGATGTGTTCTGTCCACCAGGCCATCCTTTTCCTACAACAGCTTCTGGACTTTCAGGAAACGGCAGGTGCCATGCTGGCCTCTCAAGGTACACAACACCCGACTTGGGCTTGCCTGTGCCCTTCCGCCCCCTCTTGCCTGTGGACATAGAGTTAGGCCCCTAGGAGGCCCCTAACTTGCTCCGGGTGAGGGCAGGATGTGCTGAGGGGTGGAGTGAGATTAAGACACAGCCTGTGGGGGAGCCCAAGCCCCATGGACTTGTTGAGAGTGAGCATAAGGTGGGCTGGGTTTGTTGGCAGTCTTATGAACCCCAACCCTTTGCTTGCTCCTTTGGCTGTCAGTTCTGGGGTGGGCACTGCAGGTCTCAGGTGCTCATCCAGCCCTGCCTGGCTTCCATACTTCTCCACTCCCTCCTGCATCATCTGCCTACTCTGTTACTCCATCTCCTCGCTGCCTCTTGGTGGGGCTGGAGCTTGGGAGGCTGGCATGTAAGGAAGGGTGCTCTCTGGGCGTTCCAAGAACTGAGGTCCCCGGGCCCTCCGTTTGCTTTTGTTTGGGGACAAGAGGCCAAGGCGCTGCTGGTTCTCAGGCTGCGCTTCCCAGTGTGCTTTCTGGGCTTGAGTTAGTTCGGCTTGGTGCGTCTGCTGTCTGTCTGGCTGTCATGGGGGAAGGTCTGCTTGGCTTGGGGAGACACAGCCATTTCTAACCTGTTTTTTGCACTTTGCATCTTTCTCCCTCCTCTGTTTCCCTCCTCCCCCTCTGTGTGCACTGCCTGTCACTCCGTAGTTCTTGGGGACACATACAATATTCCTTTAGACCCCCGAGGTAAGCAGTGTGTCCCCCAGCCCCATTCTCCCCTCCAAAGCCCAGTGGGTAAGGTTCCCAGGGGACCAGTTCTCAGGACCCACTAGAGGCAGGACAAAGGGGCATGAATTCTTTAAGGATGCCCTCATTTTCTCCTCTTCCTTTCATAGCTACTTTCTGTCTCCAAGACTGTCCAGGGTCTAGCACCCTAAGAACACCCCCTGGCTAACCTGGCCCTTCCCCTTGACCTGTTCTGCATCAGCAGGGTGGGGGGTTTCAGAAGCATGTGAAGAGAAGGTGGAAAGACTGGGTAGCCCTGTCCAGAAAGCCTTGCTGTTGGCAAATAAGTAAAAGGGATCTAATAGATCCCACCCATCTTATGTTGGGAACCAGGCTGGGAAAGTAGGGAAGGCGTTGGTACCCTACACCTCTCCTACCTGCCTGCCTGCTATCATGGGTAGGTTCCTTAGCCCATTATTGTAGAGAACAGCCCTGGGATCCAGAAAGAGTCCATAATGCTTCCTGTAGCTCAGCAGGTGCCCATCTCTGCCTGAGCTCTTCCTTCAGTCCTGCCTGCCCCAACGTTTCCTCCTCTGCCCCTGGGGTGTGGAAAGGGCCCTCAAGGGTGACCATTGCCACCACAGTAACAGCACATCTCCTCTCAGAAACCAGCTCTTCGGCCACCAGCTATAGCTCCGAGTTCAGCAAGCGCCTGCTGAGCACCTATATCTGTGAGTCTCACTGGCAGAACCCCCTCCGTTCCCCCTCCCTGGCCTCAGTGCTGTCCTCTTATTCCTGGGTCCCTCCCTGACCATAGAATAGTAACCTGCATTCTAGTTCAGGACCCTAGCTCTGAGAAGAGCTTCAGAGGCCTGGGAGTCAGAAGAACACGGCAGCGTTGTCAGGACAGTGAGCAGGGCAGGCCCTAGTGCTCAGATCCTGTGATGTAAGTGGCCCTGTCTTTCTGTATAGGCAAAGTCTTGGGAAACCTGCAGCTGAACTTGCTGAGCAAGTCCAAGGTGTATGAGGACCCAGCACTGAGCGCCATCTTCCTACACAACAACTATAACTACATCCTCAAGTCCTTGGAGAAGTAAGTGGCCCTGCCTTGGCTGAGCCGTGCCAGCCTCTGCCTTCCAGGACTGGACGCTGCATCTGCAGCCTCCTAGCCTTGTGTGCTTCAGTCTCTGGTCAGCAACCAAGCTTCCATTTGAGCTCAGGAAGGTTCTGAATGGGAAGCCACCAAGGCCAGCGATTTCTAGACCCCAGAAATTTCTTCTCTTTCTCTCTCTTCTTTTCCTCCTTCACTCAGGTCTGAGCTGATCCAGCTGGTGGCTGTGACCCAGAAGACTGCTGAGCGTTCCTACCGGGAGCACATCGAGCAGCAGATCCAGACCTACCAGCGCAGGTAAGAGGCCACCAGCCCTCTGCAGTGCCCCCGAACCCACCACACTTCCTTCTCAGCCCCTCATAGTATGAGGCCAGCAGGTACTGTTGATATCACTGGTAACCCACCATCTGTTTTCCTTCTTGGGGTTCAAAGCTAGGGCCTTGCGCAGGCTGAGTATGGAATCTGCCACTAGCTAAGCCCCCAGCATTATTTTTTTCTCTTCTTGTTTTTTGAACCTAATTTTTGAACCTGTTTCTTGCTAGCTGCTCCCCAGGGACCACACAGCCTCTTCAGAGTGGTCTGCCAAGTGTCATGGCTGAGAATAGTTGAAAAGGGGACTGTCAGAGAAGTGAACAGTGTTTAGTCCTGGAGAATAGTGGGGTTGTGATAGGGTCTGGGTCCTGCTCTGGTCTTTCCTTGGCCTGTTTCTTTCTGAGTATCTCCCACTTCCTTCCTGTTTATCTGTCCTCTACTCCCTCTTTTCCCATCTGTTTCTCTCTCTTAATTTGCCACAATATTGATGTGACCTGTGGTCGGCAACATTTGTTGTGTTTATCGAGCGCCTTCTGCTTCCTGCTCCTAATTGTCAACGCGAGCAGCTTCAGCATTCTCTGTTCCCAAGGAGAGCATCTCTGTTGTTTTGCTTACTCCTGACCCAGATAATTCCTACTGCCCCCACCTTCAGTAGATTGAGAGGTTTGAAAAACAAACCCAGCTGACTTTAGGGAAGAAGTAGCTGTCTGAAGTTGCCCCTCTCTGTCTTCTCACCCTGCTGTCTGGCAGCTGGTTAAAGGTGACTGATTATATCGCAGAGAAGAATCTACCCATGTTCCAGCCTGGAGTCAAGGTAAGCCTAAGGCCTGTGCCAGGAAGGTGTGATGTTTGTGTCTTAGGAGAAATGGACAAGCATCTCCCTAGACGGAGATGTGTGAGGCCATGAGGGCGACAGGAGAGGGTTGGGGGCAGAAGAGGGCGTCGTGGTTCTGCTCTGAGCAAGGCTTTCTCTGTTGCCTCCCTCTGCTCTCTGGACTCCCAGCTCCGGGACAAGGAGCGGCAGATGATTAAGGAACGTTTCAAGGTGAGTCAAGGCCTCCCTCCTGCTGATTGCTGCTGCCACGGTGGCAACGTAGACACAAAACTTTGGTCTCTTGGTCCCTCCTTCTTACCTGTTTGGTGGTCAGGGATTCAATGATGGCCTTGAAGAACTGTGCAAGATTCAGAAGGCCTGGGCCATTCCAGACACAGAACAGAGGGACAAGATTCGACAAGCTCAGAAAAACATTGTCAAGGAGACCTATGGGGCCTTTCTGCACAGGTGAGCCCATCCCCCACTCCTGGGCCCTCTGCTGCCCACTGTCCAGGTGACCTACATGCTCTTTTCCTCAGGGAAGTAAAAGTTGCAATAGGGTAGGTCAGCATGTTTGGTGCTCTGGGCTTTGGAACGTCGTCTAGGGCCCCCCCCCCCATCTTAGCACCTGGTCAGAGGGTAAAGGGAGCTAACGCCGGCTGAGGGTAGAGATGCCCTCCCCTTGACCTCTTACCACGGTGCCTGCTCAGGTATGGCAGCGTGCCCTTCACCAAGAACCCTGAGAAGTACATCAAGTACCGTGTGGAGCAGGTGGGCGACATGATCGATCGTCTTTTCGACACCTCTGCCTAAGCCCATGTGCTGCCTCGTTCTCCAGACGCCCACGTCATTGGACTGATGAGCCAGTGTTAGTATGCCTCTGGGCCGGGAACCCTGTCCCTGGTGTTTGCATCTCCCCTGCGGCCCACATCTCCTGTCAAACTAGCACTCACCCAGAATGTGGGGTCCTCTCACACCGTGGGCTTCACGGTGGAGACAGACTTCGGAGACAGAGGCTGGTGCCCCCAGCTGCCGTGGGGTGCCAAGAATGGGATGGCAGACTTCACCCTGGTCTACTTCCATCCTCTTCAGCCCACAGATGAGCGGGCTCAAAGAACAGGCCAAATGGCAGCCGGCAGAGCTGGAGGCAAGGCTGTCGTGTGACCTACTCTCTGGGTCTTATACAGGAGCCGCAGCTCTCTGGAGTGCCCAGCTACCTGGGAGTCCCCTGGTGACAAGGTGCAGGAGGGCTCTTTCTCTGGTCCCTTTGGATCTAGCACACTGCAAGAAGTGTTTGGAGGAGTTGTGAACCGCCCTGTGGGGCCAGCCCCTCAGACATCTGTTCCCTGACTCCCAGCTTCGGTGCTCACGGCCCTGGGCACACAGCAGTGCCTGCAGAAACTTTAGCCCAGAAGCGTGAGGGGAAGGGAACTAGCGGACGAAGGGAAACAATTCAGGAGCAAAGTGCGAGGCTGTGAGGGTAAAGCTGGGCTTTAGGTTGGCAGTGAACAACTGTGTCAAGAAGGGCAGACCCTTAGGGTGCATTTGGGTGATGGTTTGTTTTGCTTTTATACATGGGGCACTCGGGATGCATGAGCCTCCTGCTAGAGAATGGAGCTGTCCTAGCTGTAGGAACTGTGCTGTACCCTCAAATCTGTCTCCCTAGGCCCCACCCTGTTACAGACTGGGCTGTACACCAGGAGGCTACCTTGCCAGGGGCCGGGTCAAACTTGCACATGTCCCGCATCCAGACTGGTCACATACATGACCTGACTGCACATCACACTCCCACATACATGAAGAAGGTGTGCTCAGCAATGTAGCTTGGCCCTTGAACTCTTTCCTCCTTCAGGAGCTGCTGGCAGGGAAAAGAATGTCTTCCAAAGCAGAAGGGTGAAAGACAGGCCTTCTTAGTCCAGAGTATCCCTTCTTTAGATCCTCGACTATTTAAAGTTTGGGTCTGGCTCTTCCTAAGCCTCCTCCAGAGGAAGAAGCACCCATTTAGAGAAGTTTGCCAAGCATGAACTTCTCTCAGGGGCTATCTGGACCTTTGAGGGGATGATTCTGCCTGACTTCATACATGCTTCTACCTGGGGAGATAAAGATGGCACCCGAGCCAGGTGCCAGCAGACGGATGCTGAGAGCCTGCAGCCACCCAGTCTCCGAGTCTGGCCGGCTGCAAGTGCGCAGATTACCACTCTGCTCTGTTACATCTCCATGAGCCGCACTCCCGGGGTGGGCCTTACCCTTGCCTACCCTCCACACTAGGTCCTGGTCTCTTCCCATCACTCAGTTCCCCTCTGGGCATAGGCTTGGGGCTACTCTTGTCTCCAGGGCTGTATCTCCATGGCAGCCTTGGTGCTGAGGAAGAGCAGCAGCAGGTGAAGTCAGCTGCCGATGGAAGGGGCAGAGGCTGGACCTGGACCCAACCGGTCTTGGTGACAGAGGGGAGCAGGTCTTACTGAGCAGTGGATTGCAGGAAGAGGAATTGGGCAGAGGCTGCACTGGGGAGGAATGGAAGACAAGGGAGCCAAGCAACAGTGTCACTTTGAAGGCAATGCACGCAGTGGTTCGACCCTCACGCATCAGCCAACAGCAGTGTCTCCCTGGGAACCAACCCCACCAGGATGGACTTGGGCTCAGTGTTCCTTGGGTTCAGCTTAGAAGGAAAAAGGCATTTCCTGGGATGTGGAGAGAGCAGAAGGGAGACCACCGTACCTCTGGGGATACCTATACCATCACTCTCCTCTCCACCGGGCTCTGCCAGCCTCTTCCCAGATGGACTTTGTCACCTGGAAGCAGGGCATGGGATGCTCGAGTGGGACTGAGCTTTCATGTCATGAACTACATATTCTTTTCTTGACACAATCTCCTCTACCACATGGGCCTGGAACTCTAGCTCCATCACTGAAAGGGATAGGATATGGCTCTTGAGAGAGACAGTCCCAGAAGCTGCAACTTCTGATGGCCTCTGAGGGCAGGTGGGAGAGGGAGCCAATCCGCAAGGCCTCCTGGCCTTTGGGAGTGCTCCGGATGGCCTCCAGTTAAAGAAGAGCCTTAGACGCAGAGATGAGTTTTCCTCGTGAAAATAAATGCACTTGACAGCACCTCGTGGCAGGGAGGTGATTGCAGATTTGTCTCTGTCCACCGTCTCTCACCAGATACATTAGGGCCTGTGGGGTGGTGACAGTGGGCTTTCCTGGGAGCACTGCCAGTTTGACATCTGGTGAGTTGGTACATGTGTGTTGGGTAGCTGTGACTCTTAAGGACGATTGTGAAGAGCCTCAAGGGACTGGAGATGGACTGACTTGGAGGGAGGTGCGAACTCTGCCTCTCTGTGCTCATTCAGGTGCCCTAAGGCTGGAATGGGATGACGCGGGTGCACACATTATAATAGACCACAGAGCCCTGTTCCTGGAGACCAGCACCTCTAACATCCCACTCAGTCTCATCCCCCAGGCTCTGTGAGCCCAGTGCTGCTGAAAGGTTGAAACTCAGGCTACAGTCGCTGTGATCAACTCCACGTGACCATCCTGATACACTCAGACCTGTGGGTCCTGGACCTCTCAGTTCACCCTATATAGCCCACAGGGAGAAGCAACCATGGCCAGAGCCCAGCCCATTCTTGTGCTACCACAGGGGAGACTTCGACCCCAGTTTTGCCAGCCCCACCAGGCTTCTGCTAGAGAAATCCTTGCTCCTGCTACTGTGGTAGCCACCAAAAGGGAAATATTCCCCAAGAGGCATCTAGAGATGGAGCTTGGGGAGGGTTCTATGGTGCCTACCTGAAATTCCTACCTCACACTTCCTGGATAGTGAGTCTGGGTGTCCAGAGCGAATTCCAGGGCAGTGGGACTGCGTGCTGGGGATGCACACAACATTTCAGATTAGACATGCACCCAGCCAGGAGCCAGTGAAGCCTCCTCCACGTGTGTTCTTAAAACTCAGAATGCTGATGAAAGCTAACATTTGGAGTGTGTTCCCACCTCTCCCTCCTCTGGGTGGGAGCTCACCAGCCATAGCACATAACACTGTGCTGCAGGGTGTGCTGGGGAGGGGAACATCACATTGGGTTGGTCACTGGGACAGGCAGCGGGAAGCCTAGGCACTAGTCAGGGCAGAGTTCTGTCCCCTGCCCAGTTTGGCACTGGGCCCCGTGCCTTCTTGCATCATCGGGACACTCACTGCATTAAATGCGTTGAACACAAACACCTGCATGCGTTACAGCAGTGGTGCACTCCCATTTTTCAGCACGTACATGGCCTGAAATTCCAGGGGCAAGTTGAGGTTGAAAGAGGATGGCCAGGCTGATGGACAAGGTCAGGTTTATCTCAGGACCCAAACCCTAACACTTAAAACCTTAAGCCCTCAAACCAGGCAGTGGTGGCTCACGCCTTTAATCCCAGCAGTGGGGAGGCAGAGGCAGGTGGATCTCTGAGTTCAAAGCCAGCCTGGTCTGCAGCGCGAGTTCCATGACAGGCTGCAAAGCTACAGAGAAACCATGACTGGAAAAACAAAAACCCTTAAGCCCTCTACCTACCAACTGCTGATTACTGGGAGCTGGGTTTCTGAACCAAGAGCTGACTGGTGCTGAGCTTAGAGAAAGGCTAGGTGGAGCTGGATCCACAGAATCATCATCAGGGTCTGTCTGGGCAGAGCAGTAGGGTCTAAATTACAACCTCCATTCAGCCCATTCTGAGCCACTGGATGGAGCCAGCTGCTCTGGGCAAGGGCTTAGCCTTGGACAAAACATGCTTCTCCCATCCAGTTCCATGAAGACAAAGCTCAGGGTCCAGCCCCAGCCACCGCACCTGCCTCGGTGTCCCCTCCTGCTCTATTTCCAGCACCTGGAACTCACTGTCCTATGAGGCAAGCCTGGGATCTTTGTCTCCTTTCCTTTCTACTTTTATTTATGTACGGGTGTTCTGTCTGTATGCCACATACCGGAAGAGGGCTTCAGATCCCATTACAGATTGTGGCCCACGATGTGTTCGTTGGGAACTGAACTCAGAACCTCCGAAAGAGTTGTTCTTAACCACTGAGCCATCTCTCCAGCCTCACTGTGTCTCTTCTACAAGCCCTAATTAGGGTTGGGGTGCAGGCTGTGTGCTTTAGTGGTGCCTTTGACAAAAGTCAGCACACTCAATTATGTGCAGTGGCAACCTCCATGTCCTTGCTGTTCCTTAAATACTGGGGACAGATAGAGACCAGTGACCCGAAACCCTGTTCTGCCAAATTAACTTGCCCCAACCTGAAGTCTTAGAATTAATCACTGTAGTGTATGTGGAGTGGAACCTGTTGGAAGGTGACTTTTTGACCCCTAAGCAAAATTTAAATGCTGGTTACTTGATCCTGTGCAGTTGTAGGCAGGGAAACAAATACAAGGCCCAGAGTGGAGCACTGGTCAGGCTGCCCCGATTTCGAGACCTCAGGGTGCCCTCCGTGTGGTTGTGCATAGACAAGCTAGGAATGCAAACACAAGTGATACTTGTCGCCCGTCAGTCAAGGTATGTACAGCTAGCACCTTGTGGGGGCACATGTTAGGCAACACTGAATCCCTAGCTTCAGTTAGGGACTTTAATTTTTAATGGTTAAGCTAAGCACCCTGCACCCCACTAGGAGGAGTCTCCCACACCCTGTAAAGTCCCAGAGGCTTTTTACCCCAGGCTTGGGGCTTCATATCAGAAATCCCACGTGCATAACAGCATATGAAATGGTTTGAGCCTTTTAAGAATTTTATTATCGTTCAGACTGTATCTCATGTAGTTCAAGGGGGGCTCAAACTCCAGGGCTCCTGCTTCTCTCCTGCTTCAACTTTCCAAGTGCTGGGATTGAAGGCTTATGTCACGTGACTAGCAATCTGTGCGGTTTAGTAACAGAGAACGTTTCCCTACAATTCTGAGCCTTTGACTGCAACCCTCGAACATCCCAGCATAACCCCCAGGTGTCCTCAGGTCACACTGCAGATGTCTTTAGATGCCCTTTGATCATTTAATAAACCGGATCGAGGGCCCTACTTGAGGATGTGCAGTTGGGAAGCGCGGGTGCTGGGACAAGGGACCCTGCCGCCTCACTCACGTGTGTCAGATCTGTGGATTCGCGGTCCAGCACACTGCCACTATGATTGCCAGGCGCCAAGACGCACACTCGGCCTGAGGCTCGCCTCGGGCCGCGGCACAGCAGGCCTGCGCAGATTTTGCGGAAACCCTTGCGGAAATGCTTAGAGACCAGCGCATAAACGATGGGGTTGACACACGAGTTGGCGTAAGAAACTAGGTGTGAGAGGATGCGCAGCGCATAAGTGGCGCGCGTGAGCGGGAAGCGACCAAACCACACGCAGAGGATAAGCGCGTGATGAGGCATCCAACATAGGCAGAAGAGCACGGCGACAATGACGATCATGCGTGTCACCTTGCGTTTGGCGCGCTGGGAACCTGAGCCTGCCGCCACTGGGTCGACTGTGCGCCAGAGGTAGCGCAGGGTGCGCGCATAGGTCAGACTGAGAACCAGCACCGGCAACAGGTAGCTGAAGACGAAGGTGCAGAGGTCCATGGCGCGGCGTCGAGGCGCGCTCCATGCTGGGTGGCACACGGTCAGGTTGGCCAGCTGCGACTGACGGTAGTAGCTCAGATAGGGCCCGGAGAAGAGCAGCGCTAACCCCCAGATGAGCCCGATGGCCGCCAGCGCGTTTCGAGGTGTGCGCAGCTCGCGGGAATGCAGCGGGTAGCGGATAGCCAGATACCTGCGGAACAGTGGGAAGCAAGAGAGGGTTCACTGCTAGGCCACCGCCAACCCCACCCTCACTCTGGAAGAAGGTATCTAATAAAAAGGTTATATGGCCTATGTCTGGAGGGCAGACCCAGTGCCTCTGATGCTAATTTGATCCTAGAATTAGGACAGGACCTGGTAGCAAACAAGGCGGGGGTCTAGACGGTTCTTCGGCTGTCTCTGACAATGTGCCACCACTTTACTCCACTCGAAAAGATACCCCCAAACCCACCGAAGACGAAAAGTTGGAGAGTTTGCCTGGACTCCTGGGGGCAGTGATTATTATGCTCTAGTGACAACCTGGGGAAGCCCATTCCTAGTGCCTGAGGCTCTGCCAGACAACCTGAAGAGAACTTGGGTTAAGGAACAGCAAGGAAATTCCTGGAGAAAGCAGTTCTGTGCATCCCACCAGCCGACTTGGAACCCACACCTGCACTTGGTGGAAATGGGAGGAGAGTAGGATCACGACACTTCTTGGCTGCTCTTCCGTGGGGAGGTCCAAGTGGTGTGGAAAGGGGGAGGGAAATAACAGAATTGGATCAGGATTTCCTAGTATGTTTTCCAGCCAAGATTCCTCCAGAGCATTCTAGAAGTTTCTCTTTCTTTGCTCTTTAACTAGAGCTGGAGCAACAAACCGCTGGCTTCTCTGGCCAGGAACCTTGACCTGGAGGGCGTTTGGGGGACAGCTAGGAGCCCCCACTCACACTGTCTTGGGCTTCAGCATGGATCCTTCCCAAACACAGCCCAGTCCCAAGCCTAAGGCGCCAGACAACGGGTCCTGAGTTTGGCTCCAAGAAGCAGATGCTTCCCTGCAGCTCTCAATTTACCATCTGGCTACCCGAACAAGTTACTTACACGCTAGTTCTGAGGACGGTAGAGTTTCATAGAGGCATTAAGCTCAAACACTAATAATGTGAAGACTCCAGGGAGCTGATTTCTCCAGCCTTTGAGATCCAAAGACCAACTTAATAGAGGAACAGTCTTAGTCACTGACTTTAAATCCCTTTTCTCCTCCGCTCCCGCTTGGATATCACTGCCTCAAGCCACTGTGATTTCAGTCTTCTCGCCCACGCTGCGCATCGCTCCTGGATCCCTAAGTTGCGGCTCCATCCAAAGCAAGCCCCTATCAGGTTACCCAGGTCTCAGAGACAACAGAATGCTCACTCACCTGTCCAGAGAGACGGCGGCCAGTGTGAAACTGCTGGCGTGCATGGTGAGGAAGATGAGGAAATGAACGGCCTTGCAGAGCAGCGAGCCGAACACCCAGCCGTCCAGGGTGTAGATGGTGGCCTGGAAAGGCACGCAGCACAGGATGAAGCACAGGTCGGCCACGCCCAGGTTGAGGATGAATAGGTTGGTGGTGCTGACTGCCTGGCCGCCGCGCAACAGCACGGCTAAAACCAGCGCGTTGCCCACGGTGCCCACGAAGAAGATGAGCGCGAAAAGCAGGGGTACGAGGACCGCCTCGGGCTGCCAGCCGCCGCTGCCGACTTCCTGGCTGGTGTCCTCGGTCCCCGGGCTGCCCGAGCCATTCATGGTGTCACCGAAGCGGACGCTGCCCCGGCTCCCGCAGCCGTCCTGGTCCTGGTGAGCGCGCAGCTCCCTCGCTGCAGCGCCCCAAGAGACTCTGCCCAGTTCCAGGAGCGAGAGCAGGGGTGCGCAGGGAACGGGAGGAGGAGCGAGCACCCGGAGTGCAGGACGGTCCCCCCGCTGCGCCCTGTCGCCAGGAGAGGTGCTGTCGGCTCCCGCGCTCCAGTCCTGGGATTCGCCCGGTTTTAGACCGAGTCCGCTCACTGACATGTTACACCGCTCCTGGAGCGGTGGAGAGACCAGGGTGCGGGCAGGACGTGGGGTGCCCTTGAGAGATCCACCCCACTACTCGGAATAAACGGGCTGACACCGGGTCCAGGTCGTTGTTTGTCCTGCCCCTAACACACACGCAACTGACAAAGTGGAATGGCCAGCCATACAGCCCATGCCTCTTTTCAATTCTGACTCCTTGAAGCACCTCACCCTGCCGCACAGGAACTCCAAAGAGTAAAACCCTGAGGAGGAGGAAAGGAGGATTTTTTTATTGTTTGTTTTGAAACTGGGTGCCTCTGTGGGGCCCCAGTTGGCCTTGAACCCACAACCCTTCTGCCTCAGTCTCTACTGCTGGAATTACAGCCATGCACCAACATGCCTGTGGCCAAAATGGGTATTTTCATCTCGCTCCCTTTTATCCATCCACCAGATGTTTTCCCTCGGAACATGCACCACTGTTGAAGGGACACTAGCCCACTGGAGCCTTGCCCTTTTCCCTCATTCCCTCTGCCTTGCTAAAATCCATTAGATTACATTCCTACTGCTGGCCCCCATCGTCTATTCCCTCATTTAACCACTTCCTCCTCGCGAGGCAGACTACCAAAGTCCAGCTATCGTAAGTCCCCTTTGGCCTACCTAATTAACATGCCCAATTAAAATTAAATACCTCATCCTAATTTGGGATTTCCCCTTTGTACCTTTATAAACCACCATTTTCCTATGTTCCACATCTGTGTCCTCTCTAACCAGAGGCAGTTCTTTGTCCCTCTGGGACAAATACCTCTGTCCCCTCCCCCTCCTTCCTTGTCCCTGTCCCCTATCTCCTCTACTGTCACATCCTGGCCCATTCTAACACAGACCTCCCCTTCTTCTCCTCTTAAAAACTACACCTGCAATTACATTTGCTGCTGAGTCAGAAAGCAGTCATTTCAGCTCCCCCCTCAATCCCCCTCCTCTGCTTAATAAAGGCTCTCTCCGTGAAAACAGGTGTTTGGGTGTGGTTTGTGTCTAATCCCGGGTCCAGGAGAGAGCCCCGATATGCAGAGATCTCCTTCAGCTGCCAGCCTATGAACTTCACCTCCGTTATGGGACTGGAATGGGCCTGGAAACACTGCCTTCAAAGAAGCATGAGGTAAGACTGCTAGAAGGTTTGGAACGATGGCCCAGCATTTAAGAGCACTTGCTGCTCTTGCAGAGGACCCAGGTTTGGTCCCCAGCACCCATATGTCAACACCCATGACTTCCGGTAACTCCAGTTCCAGGTCTATACCCTCTTCAGCTCCACAGGCTCCTGAACAAATACGGCGCACATATACTCACACAGGCACAAACACCCCACTCCCACACACAAACCAAACACAGGGAGGTGTGAAACTGGAAGCCAGTTTATTAGTGGATCAAGTCTTGCTAACCATTCAGATCTTAATCAGAACATTCTTTCCCTAGAGTAGGGCTTGTTGACTCAGACATGGAATGTAAGCACTCGAGAGGCTGAAGTTGGAGGATTCAAGGCCAGCTGGGCTGCAGAGTGAGTTCTAGGCCAGCCTGAGCCACTCAGCGAAACCCCGTCTTAAGAGGACTGGGGATGTGCCAGGTGTGGTGGTACATAGCCTTAATCCCATCACGCAGGAGGCAGAGGCAGGAGAGTCTCTGTGAATTCAAGGCCAGCCTGGGCTACATAGTGAGTTCCAGGGCAGCCAAGACCACAAAGAGAAAGAAAAAAAGAAAGAAAGAAAGAAAGGAAGGAAGGAAGGAAGGAAGGAAGGAAGAAAGGAAGGAAGGAAGGAGACATTATTTATCAGTGTGTATGTGTCCTGGGCGTTGAATTCAGGGTTCCATGTGTTCTGGGCAATTATTCTACCACCAAGTTATATCCCTACAGAAGAAAAATTATTTAGCCGGATGTGGTAGGACACATAGGCAAATCTATGGTCCCAGCTACTTAGGAGTCAGGGCAGAAAGACCATTTGAGTTCAGTAATTCAACACTAGCCTGGACAACACAATGAGACACTGTCAAAACAACCAGTGCCTGGAGAGATGGCTCAGTGGTTAAGAGCACTGGCTGCTCATCCAGGTTCAGTTTCCAGCACCTGCATGGCAGCTCACAACTGTCTGAAACTCCAGTTCTGGGACACCCTCACACAGACATACATGCAGGCAAAACACCAGTGTACATAAAACAAATGACACGTGTCGTGGAGCAATCCTTTTGCACACTGTGAAGATGTCTTGATCTAATTGTTAATAAAAAGCTGATTGACCGATGGCTTGGCAGGATTTTCAGGGCAGAGAGACTCTGGGAAGAAGAAAGGGCAGAGTCATTGGGTCCCCAGAGTCATGAGCCAGTTGTGAAAGAAGAAACATGGGGAGTTCATACATGAAGTAAACTAGCCTCAGGACAGCACATAGATTAGTGGGAATGGGTTAATTTAAGTTACCAGAGCTAGTTAAAGACAACTCTAAGCTATTGACTGAGCATTTATAATTAATAATAAGTCTCTGTATGGTTATTTGGGAGCAGCTGCCAGGTCACAGAAAAACACTGCCTACAGATGCACCAGATGCACACCAAACATTTGAATATAGGTGTGGAGGCAAGGAAACAGCCCACTACTGGGGAGAGTACATAAAGAGAGAACACTAGGTAAGGTGGGAGTGAGGTAGGAGTGAGGCTGTGCCCCTAAGTTGCGGTTGGTGTCGCTGAGTTGAACGAACAAGGAAAGTGACAATTGTTGAGGGCGGGCGAGACTTCCTTCAGACTTTTTGTGAGGGTGGAAAGATGACTCCACAGTTCAGAGCGCTTGCTGCTCTTGCAGAGGACCTGGGTTCGGTTCCCACCCACAGGGTGGCTCACAACCATCTGAAACTTCAACTCCAGGAGATCTAATACCTCTTCTGACTTCTGAGGGTGCTGCACACACAGGGTGCACAGACACACGAACAAACACTCATACTCATTAAAAATCTGAAAAAGAAATTAAAATTTGTAGTTTTTTTTAGGGGGGTGGGGAGAGTCTCTTCTATGTAGTCCTGGATGTTGTGGGACTCACTTTGTAGACCAGGCTGGTCTCCAATTCACAGAGCTCCGTCTGCCTCTGCCTTCTGAGTGCTGGAATTAAAGGCACGTGCCACCATGCCTGGCCTTTGTTTTGTTTGTTCGTTTGGCTTTTTGAGACACGGTTTCTCTGTATAACTTTGGAGCCTGTCCTGGAACTTACTCTGTAGACCAGGCTAGCCTTGAACTCACAGAGATCCACCTGCCTCTGACTCCCGAGTGCTGGGATTAAAGGCATGCTCCACCGCTGCCCAGCCAGGCCTGTTATTTTTAATTGTATGTATGTGCCTGTTTATCTGTATGTACACCTGCATGTGGTACCTGTGGAGGCCAGAGAAGGGCTCAGGACTCCTTGAACTGGAATTATAGATTGTTGAGAGCCAGTGGGAGGGGGCTGGGACAGAACCGGGTCCTCTGCAAGCGCAGTAAGTATTTTTAAAGGCTAAGCCTCTTTCTTGCCCTGTTTCTCATCACACATTTCACTCCTTCTCCTCCCCCTCCCACTGCATGTATCTGAGACAGAGTCTCACGTGACCAGGCTGGCCAAAGACCTGGAACATTCGATCTTCCTGCCTCTCCCTCTGACATGCTAGGATTTCAGGCCTGGATTATGTAGTGTTGGGGTTCAGGCCCAAGACTTCATACATGCTGGAGGAGCACTCTAACTGAGCAGTATCCCTGGCCCTGTCTTTCTCCACTGTGAGGGTGGTGGCATTTAGTCTAGTAAACTGAGGAGGCTCTGAAAGACTTTGACTAGAACGCTAACATAATTGTACTTTCTTCCCTAGCAGCTTTAAACCACAGTTCACACGCTAAACCACACACTCATCTAAAGTATTTGCTTGTTTTTCGGTATATTCCTGAAGCTGGGTGACAAGCATCACATTCACCCATACATGTTATACATGTTATTGAAACAGTTTGATATACTAAAAGATGTGGTGATATTTTGTTTGTGCTCTAACAAATAAAGCTTGCCTGAAGGTCAGAGGGCAGAGCTAGCCACTAGTGAACCATAGAGGTCAGACAGTGGTGGCACACACTGGGGAGGAAGAAGCAGGAAGATCAGGAGTTCAAGGCCACCCTGGGCTAGAATGTGTCTAAAAGAGAAACAGAGCCAGGAGGTGGAGGTGGCCCACACCCTTAATCCCAGCCCTAGGGAGGTGGAGACAGGAATATAAAGTGGGTGGAGACGGGATTTCAAGCCCATTCAGTCTGAGGATTGCAGAGATAGGAGTACTCATTGGATCTGAGGATTCTGTAGAGGTAAGAACTAGTGGCTGGCTGCCCTGCTTCTATGAGCTTAAGACCAACTAGAATTTGCACTACATCTGGCACCCAACGAGGTCCTGGGAGTCGCTGCGTCTTCCGCCCTGGCCTGACCGCAGCAGAGAGTATCTATTGCAGTCACGTCCGCTGCGATCGCAGCTCTAGCTGTTTCGTATGGGTCTGAACCGGACCCCGACAGTGAGGGCAGTCGGTGTCCGCTGCCAGCCGCCGGCTCTCTCATGCACTTGACCAAATCGCCTTTAGCCAAGCCCTCTCAGACAGTGGCGGTGACTCGGCTCTGGAGGTGGCAGTTGAGGAAGATTTGGAGATTGGAGTTCACCTTGACCCTGCTGTCAAAGAAATTCAATATAATTCTACCTTTGAGATTGCTCCTATGGCTGCTCCTA